CCGCAGGGGCCCGCGCGGCGCCGAGCGGCCCCGGGGTCATTCGAATGAGAGGCCGCGCGGGGCCCGCCGCTCCGCGTGGGACACGGCGGCTCCTCCCGGGGTCACTTAGTGGCACTGGCAGGGGGAAGGCCGCCTGCAAACACCCAAGGCCGGCRTGGGGGAAGTTAAAGCTGAGGAGCCCTTCCGAAGCGGTGGCGCTTTCAGCGTCCGCCGTCCGATAATTTCTGTGCCTGGAAACGGTCCTGGGCGAGATAACTGTTGAATTTTGGGTGTTAACTGAGGGCCCCTTTCCTAAGCGGAAATTTGCCGCTTTAATAATTTTTATTCATTTTAGAATAAAATGCGCTCTTTYCTGATTAGGAACATTTCCTCCTTTCTCAGATCTGTAGGGTCTTTAAGGGAATTTTCTGTTCCCATAAAATGTCTTTTAAAAAAAGAAGGAAACAGCTTTTCAAATTGCTTAACTGTAAACTTGTTGCTGAGTCACTTTTGTCTTCTCCCCACAAAAAAACAAACAAAAAAGTACACATTGCTTCTTAAATTATTACTTTTCATTTTTCCAGGCCTCCGTGCCATAGTTTTCTCCAGTCACTATGCATCAAAATAAAAGTTCCTGTTGTATTTTTAAATTTACTTTCTTATTTCTAAGAACACTATGCCTTGTTCTCTGTTCTAACCTGCTTTCCTATTACTGTCTCAGAGCCAATGGTTCTTTTAAGCAGTCCCTGTATGAGATTTGTGTGAACCCAATCCTCACTTTCTAAACCTATCTACAAATAAAGGAGGGGAGTAAAAATAAAAGGTACAAGCTGAACAGAGAGGCTCACATTGAAATTCTGCGGTTCACTRATTTATTTTTTCAAGTTAGGTGGAGCGTTAACTCTCTCCTGATCAAAGCAAGATAACAGAAATGTTCTGATTTTATGCCTGAAATACAAAGTTCTCGCCATAGCGAGAAGCTTCAGCAAAAAGGGAAGATGCAAGGGGATGGTGCATCTCTCACAGCTAGGCCAGCACCTTTTAATTTGGCCAGCAATTTTGTGCCTATGAGGAATGAGAGTGATGGTGAGGAGAAGATAATTCCTTAAAGCAAATGTGTAAAAGGCAAATAAATGGTCTCATTTCAACCATCAGACATTTTTTTTKTTGTTGTTGAGGAAGGAAAAAATAAAACAGCAGATGATATGTTAAGAATCAAATCAATTTTAGTGTTATCTAAAGATAAGCTCTCATGTAAAAACTGCTAAGAGCCTATATCAAAAGAGAAAATTCCCTTATTTAAAAAGAGGTTATAAAAGGGGGGAAAAAAGCTATTTTCCCTGATCATCCTGTTCTATTAGTCTTTCTCACTCAACCCTTAGAAAGATCCTATAAATAAAAAGGAGTCAGCTCTGTCGCATTTTGGATCTGAGAGCTCTCTTCAAAGCGCCTTTTCTGCTGCCAGMTGCACGACTGCAGGGAGCATTGCAGGTGATTTTCTCGCTAGAGAGGCTCTAAAAGCTGGGCAGCACCGTTTTATTGCTGATACATGCAGTAAGGGAGCTGCAGTCATTCGTGCCGCTGTCTGTGGTGGCCTGCTGATGTTTTTGGTTGAACTTGATAGAAGGGCGTTCGGTCTTAGCAAAGATTTTCAGTCTTAAGCAAGAATTCGAATGCAAACTCCTTAGGAAAGAAGCATGGATTGGTAACCAAAGAGAGATTTTTTTTTATAACACTGCTTCTCTTTGAGTGCTCGTGGACAGTAACAGTCGCAGAGACCGCGTTGTGCATATGTCTCTGATGAGCAAAAGTCAAACGTGACGAGAGCCGCGTTTTGCCGAAATGCTCATGTTCATCCAGCTCCCTGCGGAGGGGAGTCCAACATGCGCCACTGTGGGGCAAATAATACAAAATAAACGATGCTGTGGGTCAAGCGAGGATAGGCGGTGACGTTTCAATTAGGGGAGCCTTGGTGGAGCCCCAGGCCGCGTGGGGCCGTGTCAGCCGTTAACGGCTCTTCGCAGCCGTTACCGCGGCGCAACGGCCGTTAGCGCGCGCCGGCAGCCCCGCCCCGCCCGGC